AATGTGGGTGTCAGTAAGGAGACCTAGGCAATCTATGGGGCTTTGAGTAGTAGCTCAGCATTTATCCCTAGCGCACAAATGGACTTTGGGTGCCCATCCCACAATGAGGGATGCTCTCTCAATCTGGACACTTGGGAGAGGTCCTGGGTCCTCTCCAGAATGAAATGACAGACTCTAGAGATCCAGGCGTTGGTGGCGCACGCCTTTAATCCCAGCACTTGGGAAGCAGAGGCAGGCAGATCTCTGTGAGTTCGAGGCCAGCCTGGTCTACAAGAGCTAGTTCCAGGACAGCCTCCAAAGCCACAGAGAAACCCTGTCTCGAAAAACCAAAAAAAAAAAAAAAAGATCCCCCATGGAGGGCCTTACCCTCCCTGGGGAATGGAGTGGGGATTGGGTGGGGGCATGGGAGGATCTGATGAGGAAGTGGGTATGGAGGGGAGAGAGAGGGAGCTGGAACTGACATGGGAAGCAAGCTTGTTCCTAATTTAAATATATAATAAAAAAGTGTTTTAAAAAATCTCCTCTCAGTTTGAGATCAAACTAAGTCTATTCTTTCCTTGTCCTCTGATTTACTCTTACAAATGGGATCTGGTTAAATAAAAAAAATCTTCTGTACAGCAAAGGACAGTATCATACAAATGAAGAGGCAACCTACAGAATGGGAAAATCTTTACCAGCTACACATTTGAAAGAGAATTAATATCTAGAATATACAATTAACTAAAGCATCTAGACATCAAGGGAAAAAAATCTTGACTAAAAATGGTGCATGCCCTCATCTGCCATATGTTGGTATAGGCAGGGGAGAGATGCCTCCTGCCCCCACCCCTTACTGCCTGAGTTCCCAAGAGTGGCAGAAGATACTGCTGTCCCTCACCAGCTGTGGCGCTCAGGACTGAAGCCCTGCACCTTGCCTGGGCAGCACAGTAGAGCCCACTCTGTTAGCAGGCCTGTGGATGAGCCAGCTCCAAGTTGTGAGTGTTGGAGAGCTTTCTCCACTACTTATCTGTCATGTGGCAGTGGGGGGGGGGGATATACACCTGGCCCCGTTACCCCTCACTCCTCGCCACCTTCAACAGATAATGCAGCGGACTCTCTTCCCATTGTTCCTCCCCTAGGCAGCTCAGTAGCGCTGACCCTGTTGGTGGAGACGTGGATGAGCTGGCCCTGAGTGTGTGAGTGGGATAGCTGGCCACGTCTGCCATTGTCTGCCATGTGGTAGTGAGGGCGAGGGAAAGATGCCCTCCTCCCTCGCTCCTGCTACCTGCGGTGGGCTAGGGAGTTGACCCTCCCCCTTACCAGCTGCAGGTGGGAGAATTGTCCCTGAGGTCATAAAAGCTGCCCCTCATCAGCTGCATTACCGTGAGAGTGGCCCCTGCACCTCGCCTGGGCAACACGGTAGATCTGGCCCCGATAGTGTGGGAGAGCTGACCGAGGGCAAGAAAGCAGGTGAACCAGCCCCGTCCCTTGCTCATTGCCTCAAGGGGTGAACTAGCCAAGGCAATGCTGGAGAGCTCACCCTGGTGGTGAAGACAAGGAAGGACTTTCTGAGGAAGGGAGATACAACACAGTGATATAAAGGAGAACAGAGGAATGATGGAACGGAAAGGATTGGATGGCGTCGGGAGCTGGAAGGGGGAAATGTAGGTGGAAGTATGGGGAAGATAGCTGACAGTAAAGCCCTTCTGATGAAAGTCATATGAAAGACTACTACTGCAGGTATCCTAGAACATAAACATACACAAAAATGCATTTCAATAGCTACTCTGCACCTGGACAGCAATGTCCCTACTAGACACCATCAGCTAACAAGTAGAAAGCCCAGTGCCCCGAATGGGTTGTTTCTATTTTAATTAGTAGTCCATGAAGTTGCAAAGATCCCCAAAGATTACAGACTATTGCCGTTCCTCCTGGCTACCTTTAGAACTTGAAGGGAAGACTATAACTGAAGATGTACTTGAGTCACAGGACATGGAGAAATCAAGATGGAAATGACCTCAATGCTTCATCCTTACTGGCTAGCCTCGTGGTACTGAAAGGTGCTACACATACTCTCAGAAGAGAAAGTAACTCTAAATTGTATCCAGCTATAGACCTTGTGAAGTATGATAACTGGCAGCCTCTACCCACTGGTACAATAGCAGTGTAAGTGCCACCAGCGTGATCAACCATTTTCTGACTCGATTTAAAGCCTACTGCACAATATGGAGTCCATAACTGGCACCATTATCAAGGAATCTGTAGCTAGATGGGCCATTGGCCCTGGTGGGGAACCTATTTCTATTACTCTGCTAAAAGGACATAGAAGTAAACCCACTCCTAATGTCTTGTTGTTATAGCCACAGATTAGCAGCTCTCTCCAACCCCATCGGAGAAGCTTCTCTTTGTAGCACGTAACAATTAACACAGTGACCCATAACAAGGCAAGGTGCAGAGAATAAAGAGCTGTGAAGTGCTCCACCCTAAACAGGATATGTGTATCACACTGCCTCTCCCAAGGTTCAAGGAAGAAAAGGCAGAAATATTTGTGACCCAGAGGTGGTGGATGACTTCCACGGTGTTTTCCAGACATAAAAGGGTAGGCACATAGGCATTCACAGTGATTATGCTGGCATACCCAGGATCCGCATAAGCTCAGACCAGACAAATATCCTAGCATCGAAGGGAGAGGTAGTCACAAAATTCTACTCCTGGCTGAGGAGCTATTGGTAACTGATGGCTGCTAGGAAAAGTCAGTTTTCTTTAAGGGTGAGGCTCATGGTAGATAAAACATGCTCCAGAGAATGGTCACACAGCCAAGGATGCATGGGCAGTGCTAATTGGACTGAATGGGTTTAAAAATAAACAAGGGCACAAAGTTCAATGGGTATGGAATACAGGGTGTATCTGGGAGGAGCTGAGGGACAGGTGAATATGCTCAAAATACAATGGATGAAACTGTCAAAGAACTAATAAAAATATACTTTAAAATAAATTCTGGGAAGATTTTCAAGGCTTTCCAAAGTCCTCTTCAAATATCTATCTGAATAACCACAGTACTTGTAAATGATGAATAGACACTGTGCTGGGGATTACCAAGATGAATGTGCATCCTTTGACCTGAGTATTTTTTCAAATCAAATATCTTTAGCCTTAACTTGAGGCTAAAGACAGTTTGAGGGACTATCCTCCCCTAGAACCTGTGCCTCTTTGCCTTGGTTTTCATTCACTATCTTGTAGGGGTATCTCCTGGGAACCGAAGGAGTAATAGAGCAGCCAATGACATCAGATGTCAGTAGGCCAAGCCTTCAATTTTTAGAATCATGTCTTTGAGGGTCCTAGGACAGGGTTAAGTCAGAGATGATATCTATTGCCTAGTCTTTTCTTACACAGAGCATGATGAAGCGATGTGGAAGCAACATGAATTGATCCTGGTACAATCTTAAAAACTAAGTTAACTTATTCTGTTTCATAATTGATATTTTCCGTCCTTAAGAATGAGTCAACACGAAATCTTAAAAGTTAGAATGAGATGACTGGGTAATTCTGCATCTATAAAAGATGCTTTAACAAGCTCTGGTCAGCTGTGCACCACACTGAAGGATGCCCTATAATCAGTTGTGAACCACACTCAAGGACGAGCTCTGGTCAGTCGTGTACCACACTCAAAGATATTCATGACACTCTATGGAGATGATGGGTTAACACAGGCCAGGACTATGTTCCATCCCTGGCTTACAGGGATCACTCAATAAATACTTCAGCGAATTTATCAGACTTTTATTTGCAGATATTTGAGAACCATTTTTTAAGCAAAAGGTTGGGGAACAAAGCAGTTACACAGTCTTAATCACATCATTCTTTGCAGTATCTGAAGAAGCAGACAAGAAAATACTTTGTGAAATCTGGAAAAATAGACACTGAATCTTTTTCCATGCATTTGGCCACTCAGATAATTTAGAAATATGAACAAACACAATTGACTTTGCTGCCAGCTCCATCCCAAGTTGAAATACTTCATTTGGCCCATTCTTGGTTTCCTAAGAAACCAAGATAATGATAAGGATCTAAATAAAAGACAGCCCAGCTGGTGGAGGAGGCGCTGTAAACTTCCTCTGAAGGTTCCCTTCTTTTCCCAGCCACTCAGTGGTCACAAATGGAGGAACACGTGGGTTTAAACACTTCCTCTTTATCAAAATAAAGGGGAACTGATGTGTGGGCTGATTTTAAATAGGACCCAGTGAAAAACAACCCCCCACAAAACTTGGATGAAAGATAATCCAGTCCCCATGTTTATCTTGTCCAGCCACAACCCTACTATCATTCATTTTGCAGCCGATTTTATATAGCTTCCCGTGGGAACCTTTGTCACAGTGTTCATTAGCCTCACTCCAGTGTCAAATTAGCTTCTTGTAATGGGTGGGTAAGAGGTTGTACTTGTGTCTTATGAATCTTTTCACAAAGTAAAAGTCGTTCTTTTAAATGAATCTTACTACCTGGTTGATCATTTGCCTCTGGGTATGATTTTTCTGGAAAGTGAAAGCCAGGTTGTCATTACAATGTTTCATGGATAGCTTGTAGACTCCATAGTGTACAGGCAGATCTTTTATTGCACATTTCCCGTGAGCTGTGCTAACATTATCACTGAAATTAAATTTGTGTTAAATTTTAAAGCCGATAGGTATGTGTCACTAGTAGACATGGGTAATCTCACAGAGTGTTTAAATCTTGCACACTAGGATTCTTTCAAACAATGGAACTCTTCCCAGAAATGAGTGTAAACAGAACTCAAGTAGCCATGCAAATGCAGTCCTTGTGAAAGTGTGACATGAGCAGAAACACAAATTAAGGCATTCAGTCATCAGATAGAGATTAGTCTCTGTGACATGCCCAGCAATCCTGTAGAAACATGAGACAGCAAAAGAGGGAGCAGTAAACATTGAATGTTAGAGACACTGCTTTTATGGAGGGGTGGGCAAACAGAATGCACCACACTGTCCGATACCACGAAGAAGAAGCATACAGTGAGCAAAATGTGAGTGTGCTGGAGTTAGGCACTTGAGCGAAGAACAAAGGACTCCCCAGGGAGACTGTGAAATGAAGAAGGAAGACGTGAGAGAATGTGACTGAACTTGTTCTTTCATTCCCCAGAAGCCTGTGGTGTAAGACTAAGAATGAAGAGCATTTAGAAATCTGTACTCACAAACACCTGAGACTGTGACTTTACTTTATGCAAATATGCTGGATTTATTCACAGAGAATATGAAATGACAGTAGAAGCCACACAGAAGCCTTTACAGGCCAGACGGATGGTCATGTACATTTCGTGTGAGAAATGAAGGAAGGCTTTAGGTGAAGGAAGTAGCCTCTTGTTGTCATGTGACTATCACTTCATAGAAACCACAGTGCAGACACCAACCGAGACCGAGACAGGGCACAGGAAAGTGACGCTACTGTCTGCTTAGGTAAGTGGTGAGAATTCTTCATTCTTTCGGATCTACTCTTTCTCTGGTTTCCCCAGCTTGGGATTGTTGTCTGATCTGTATGCTCCATCTTACAGCATCAGCTCATGCCACACTTGCTTGTGTTCATGGTCATGTGGAAGTCAAACGACAATCTGTAAGAGAAGCATACATCAGGAGGTTTTAAAAATTCCTAAGAGATTATCACTATTAGAGGGGAAAGTATCCTATCTTGAGCAGATGTTATAACTTCAGAACTCTGCTGGGTGATTTTCCTTAATGTGTAAAGCAATATAAAATTTCATTTATGGTCTTTTATTACGTTCAGGCATTCGATTTGCATCACATTCTATCACTTTAAGGGATATATTGTTGAAATGTGTCCATGCTTGTCCAAAAATTATCTTCTATCACCATTTGGCTCTAAAGATAGTGAAATTTACCTCAGTTCAGAAACTTGAGCTAAAGGCTCCTAAACAGCAGTTTAGTTATTCTTCATGTGTAAATGTTAATGGAAGATGAGCCTCTAAAATAGTATTTCATTGTTCTTTATTAAAAACAAAGGGGGGACCCCAACAATATGGCTCATCCAGTGTTTGAAATCAGTAACATGGTTAATAAGGTTTCTTCTATTTCACTCTTGATCTAAACTTTTCACTCCAATCTGGTAAATTATCCAGATTTGAACTAAAATGTCCCCTGGGCACTATGAAATGAGGGAAGTCAGTGTACTCTTCATCCCCCAGTGTTGGGGAGCAACGGCTGCTATTCCTGGATGCCAACATGTACAAGAAGTTTGTCTCATGTGGATACTAGGCCCTCAGTGACCCTCCGCATCCAGTTTCTGCAATATAAAATATGAGAGTCTACACAAACGAGGTGCAAACATTGTGCCCCGTCCACTGCACTGGATGGATTGTTGGTGGGGTTAAGACACACTACAAAGGAACTATTGGCAGGACCACGGATACTCTTGGTTGTGTACTTCAGACTCCAGCTATTGCAGAATTGCTGGACATGTGAAAAGAGCTTGGCAGGAAGCCCCAAGTATCTTTGAATTCCAAAGGTCTTTTATTGAAATGTGAGAGCTCAGGCCGTTGTTGTTAAACAAATTATAAAATTGCCTTTGCAACTGACCATCTGGGGTGGAATCATGGCCAAGATACAGAAATTTGGAAAGAGCCTTATGAAGACGACTATCATGAGCAAGCCTGAACCATAGACACTATAGAAGGTTAAAGGTCAAGATCCAGAATAAGGAAGTCATTCCTCTCAATTAGAAAAGGTTCTGGTAACCAGATGGAAGATGGCAGGACTTTATCTGACTACAAGTAAAACCAGTCCACTCGTTATCTTGTGTTGGGACTTAGAGGAAGTCTTACACCACTCCCAATAAGAGCAAACATAAGAGAGAGAAGGTTAAATTGATTGTCGTGAAATGCTAGAATGTGAATAAAAAAGGCAAAATCTGTGTCAAGAGATGAATTCAGGATAGTTTTCCCAGGGCCAGCCTCTTTGACAGACAGTAATGGGGTAAGTGCTATGTCACCGTCTGCTTTAGCAAACCAGAAAACTGATAAGAAAAAAATAGGAAATGAAAAAACTGTAAAATTATCAGTGTCTCTTATTTGTGAGTTTTTACACTATTCCAAAAGTGTTGTACCCTTTTTGTCTGATGAAACTTTTAGTAGTATGCTTAATATAGTGGTTTAATATTAGCCTCTTTCTGCCTGATAGTGGACTTTGGATTTCTGTTGTCTTTCTGGCATATAGACTAAATATACTAGACTATATTTTAGGTGTATCCTCTTAGTTAAAATAAGACATCCACCTATTCAAGTTTAAATGATTTTACCATAATTCACATTCTATCAATAATCACATTAAAACTGCCACTGTGTTGACTGCTTCCATGTTTTTCTTGCAGTCAGTTGAAAATATCAGTGCAGCGTAAAGTAAAAATAGCTGCAAACCTAATGAATGGAAGTACACAAGACAGAGTTAACCATGGGAAACTTTCGTTCCTTCCTAACAAGCTTAGCAGATACTAAGAACTTAATCTTACATTGGATAGAAATCCATGCACGTTTGTAACTGGAAGCTTTACCCACAGCTTTTATTTCTCAATTATGTGCTGAGGAAATGTACATTATTTTCCAGATATATATCTACTCAGTCGGGAAATTTACATGGCTTCCCTTGGAGTGTTAAGAAAGTAGATAGCCGGGCGGTGGTGGTGCACGCCTTTAATCCCAGCACTCGGGAGGCAGAGGCAGGCGGATCTCTGTGAGTTCGAGGCTGGGCTGGACCGATAGCCTCCAAAACAATACAGAGAAACCCTGTCTCGTAAAAACCAAAAAAAAAAAAAAAAGTAGATAAACTGGCATACAAATGGACTTTGGGTGCCCATCCCACAATGAGGGATGCTCTCTCGGCCTGTCCACTTGCGGGAGGGCCTAGGTCCTGCCCTGGATGAAATGACAAACTCTGAAAATCCCCCACGGAGGGCCTCACCCTCCCTGAGAATCCGAGTGGGGATTGGGAGGGGGACTGTGGGGCCTGGTGGGGAGGCAGGGGAGGAGGGGAGGGAGAGAGAGCTAGGATTGACATGTGTTTCTAATTTCAATTTTTAAAAATGAGGAAAAAAAGGAAGGGAGAAACTCAAAAATAAGGAAGGAAAGAAGGAAGGAAGGAAGGAAGGAAGGAAGGAAGGAAGGAAGGAAGGAAGGAAGGAAGAGGATAAACTTGTTTTGCTTTCTGTTCTCTTCAGGGAGTAAATGAAATTTTCCCTATGTGAAATATTTACAACTTCATAGGAACAGAAAGTTTAGAAATGAAGCCACCACGAAAAATGAACTTGGCATGATGCCAGAGGTCTCAGGTTCTATCCAAATCAGATGCAGTCAAATCATAGCCAAATAACCTGAGTGGCATTTTTGGTTGTTTGGCTGGTTGGTTGGTTAGTTGTCTGGCTGCCTGGGTGGCTGGTTGGTTTGTTGGGGCAAAGTCTCTCTATGTAGCACTGGCTGTTCTAGAACTTCTGTACATCATTCTGGCCTAGAACTCAGAGATCTCCCTGCCTCTGGTTAAGTGTTGAGACTAAAAATCTGTCTGCCCACCCACAGCTAAGCACTGAGCCGAACTCCTGGAATCCAGTTGCAGAGAGGGAGGAGTGATGAAACCCAGGGTGGGGAAACCCACAGAAACAGTTGATTTGAACAAGGGGGAGCTCATGGACCCCAGACTGACAGCTGGGAAACCAGCACAGGACTGAAACAGGCTCCCTGACCATGGGTGTCAGTTAGGAGGCCTGGGCAGTCTATGAGGCCTCTGGTAGTGGAATAGCATTTATCCCTAGTGTACAAATGGACTTTGGGAGCCCACACCACATAGACTGATACTCTCTCAGCCTACATACATGGGGAAGGACCTACTTAGGCCCTGCCCCAAATGACTTGACAGATTTTGATGATCCCTCGTGAAAGGCCTCACCCTCCTTGGGGAGCAGAAGGGGGATGGGATGGGAGGTCGGTGGAGGGCATGGGAGGATGGGAGGGAGAGGGAACTGGGATAAATTTTTTTTAAAAATCTGTCTGCCTTTGCCTACTGACTGTTGGGATTAAATGTTTGTACCACCATGCTAGGTGGCATTTCTTGTGTAAGGAAAATTAGAGTCTAATTATATATAATATAATATAATATATATATATAAAAATATTCTTTAGTCTTGCCCCTTTGTGTCCCCACTGAAATGTGATGTGTATAAATGAACAGCTTTGTTTTTAGGCTTCCTTGCTCTAGACTTGAACAAACACCATATCACCTTTTTTACAAGGCATCCATTCCCACAACTTCTACTCCTCAAGCTCTTTTACTTTTAGTTACTTTGGTCCTTAGCCTGTAATTTGAAATTTGCAACCAAGTTTACCAGTAGATCTGTCTTGACTTTTGAATGAAGGTAACAGTCATCATTTGCTTGATGTCCCTTACACTATTTATTGCCATCTTATTTTACTAAATTAGCTGGTCCACTCAGGCTTGGAGATGTAGTAAGTATGACTGTTCTTGACATTAAAGAAACTGAATTCGTTTGGGTTTTGTTGCTTTTGGTTTTGTTTCTTCTTTTTCTGTGAGAGGTCACAAGGGTAGGAGCAGACTGGGACGACTTGGGAGTGAGTGTGATCAGGGTGCATTTTGTGAAATTTCCCAAAAATCAACAAAAATATAATGTTGGAATAATTCTACAATAAAACAGTAAAAGGAAAAAGGAAAGAAGGAAGGAAAGGAGGGAGGGAGGGAGGGAGGAAGGAAGGAAGGAAGGAAGGAAGGAAGGAAGGAAGGAAGGAAGGAAGGAAAGAAATTGCACCAAATGTTCATTTGAGACTATTCATGGGATCCAAGAACTTTTTCACACTTCCTGGTTGGTTAAGGGGTCTTTAATTTTTTCTTCAGAGTTTTGATCACAACTGAATGCTAATGCTTAATGCCTTCCAAAGGATTTATGTCTATTATTTGTAATTATGTGTCTGTGTGTGGGTATGTAGTGAGGTCCTCTACTGGTCATCTGCAAGAGCAATGTATTCAACCCTGAGCCATCCCTCCAGCCCATGACTTTGAAAAACATTACTTAACCTTTGTTGAGCTCACAGTGTGGCTTGTTTTTGCCTGTCAGAGAAGTCTGTCACATAGATGGGACATCTACTAGAATATGGTGACACTGCCATAATCCTCTTGTCACTGCACCTCTGTCCATTCGTATACTACTAATTCTGAGTAACTGACATGTATGATGTTTCAATGCATGCTAATGAAATTATCTAGGATTTTCTTTTAAATTTCTGTCTTTTCCCCAATTTTCTCTCCTCTGAAACTACTGAAAGATCAGGATCACCTTTGCCTTTGTGACTTAGGAGACTTTATCTGAACAGCCACGGCAGTAACTCATTGCCAAGTCAGTTTTCATTTCTACTTTCTTTTTTATTTGGTTAATTATCTCACACAGT